AGAAGACTCCGCTTGACAGTTTATTGACAAGACTGTGCTGAAAACTCCATTTTAGTCTCAATCACCTATCCTGTTCTGCAAAGCCTATCTGGCCTGAAACAGATCAGACGTTTTTTTTCCAGAACCTTTGCTTTGCTCTTAGAATAAACATTTTTTCCTGGTACAGGTCACTAGTGATTTTTTAATTTTAACTGCAGTCCCCATCCTTTCAAGAACCTATTGCAATGTCAAATAGTGAAGAGACTGTAAAATAAGAAAAACAGATACCAATTATATTGGTAGAAAGCATTTAATAAATTTGCACTTTGGTCTTTATCGTAATAGAAAGGTTTTTCCTAGCAATATAAAGGGAAGCTACAGGCTGATTCCATTTTAATGTTACATATCTGATTCCTATAATCTAATTCACAAATCTGTGTCCAATATTCCTGTTTCTTTTATGAGAAACGAAAGGTAAGTATCACAATAGCACTGTCATGATGATAAGCAATAGCAAGGCTAGCCAGTAAGAAACTAACAGAGTGATGTCTGAAATCATTCTTCCTAAGTCCTGAAGTGGCGTATTGCTTATTCAACCACTCTTTAAGCAAAAGAGATAAGCAAAACTGTGTAAGGTGACTGATTGCTGAGTCTTTCGCTGCCTAGGCTACACCCATGTCACTTCCAACCTTAACCAAGAACCAACCTTCCCAGCAGGTCCCAGGCTCTAGCAGGGGACACAGCATCCTCTGCCCCGTGCCAGTGGTAGCTGACCCTGCAGGTGTGAACACTTCAGGCAGGGAGCCAGACAACCACTTCTGCCTCCTCCCTTCTGTGTTGGACATCTCCACCCAGATCTCCATGGAACAATGCCAAAATATTTTTGGAGGAACGGTCTGTGCCAAGATCTCCTCCCAAAAGACAGTATCAGCAATGTCAGGTTTAAACCCCTCGACACTACAACAGCTCAGCAAGCCTAGCTAACACACATCTATGCTCCCTCTTAGATGTTCACAGTGAGGAACCGCTTTGGTGAGCTGTCTTCACATGACTACAGGTACTTTGAACTAAAAATAAAAAATAAAAATCTGCCAGCCCAAGACTCATCCCAGAGGAAACTTTTGGCCAAGTGCTACATAAGAGTGTCTGGGAACCAGAGGTCCTACAGGCACCATTTCCAAGCAAGACAGTCACAAGCCAGACCATGCCAGTTGACCACTGGTGGCTCTTTGTCTTCTTTCATTTGGAGGTACCAACAAGGGTCAGAGTGAACCTTGTGTAGTGTTTAAGAACTCTGCAGAAGTATTATATATATATATATACACACATATATACACACATATATATATATATATAGAGAGAGAGAGAGAGAGGTCTACAGCATATAAAATAAAGGTTAAAAAAGCAATTATTTGTTTTTACGGTTTCCCCTAGAGTGGAGATAGCATTGCAGTACCTGCACAGCATTCACAGTACTTTTCTCACTTGTTATTAAGACAACAAATGCTGAAAATGCAAAGATGTGCAAGAATGCTATTCTACCTAAAATAACTGTCTTGAAACACTGCTAGCATGCAGCCTAAGGTTTGTAGTCACCTTCCCCAAGGGAAGAATGATTTCTTGCTCTCCACAAAATATCTCCCACTTACTAGATTAATATCTAGGCTGGCATATATTATCTTTTTTAACTTCACTCTCTCTTATCCTTCTATTCCCTCATCCCTCTTCAAAGGTATTAACAAGAATCAAGATGTGGAGTAAAAAAGCAGACTACATTTTAAAATGCCCTGAAATGTAAGGAAAAACCATAACAGTACTTGCTAAGAAGCAGTACACAAGTGGTACAATTTACATCATTTAACCTGAAGTGTTTTAAAAGGCCTGGATGGAATTTTTGCAACATTTGAAAACTGTAAATAGAAGGAAATGCTTACCACGATATAGTACCACAGGATTTAAAGAAATATTAGAAGGTGGCATAGACACGTCATATACAGGTATTTTTACTCTCATATGAAGATATATGCACACACAGAATTAACAGATAGACACACAGATGCTTTATGAACAAATACAGTGATCCTAAAGCACTTAATGATCCTGTATTACTTAGTATCTGGACTTCATTTAATGCATACAGAAAACATGCCTCTGAAGATCTCCGAAGGCAGACACAGATGACTTATTTTAACTACCTCTCACTACTGAATATGTATGAAACTGAAAGAAAACATTACCTATTTGTTTCATTTGGAGCCAGTCAGCTCTTTCAGGCCAAGGCATCCAACCCCAACAATCAAAGGCAGGTAATAACTGTGGTGAAGTCCATGACACCTGCTCCCATCTGCACACACCCCAGCAACCCCCTTCACACTTTCTGCCTAACTGCTGAGATGCCTGACCTGTTGCCAAAGTAGCAGGAAAACTTGGTAAAGTTTTCACTTCGAGGTAATCACACTTCTAGCTGCACGGCCCAGCCTGAACAGAAGATAAGGGGGATGCCTAAAGGTATGATCTTTCTCCAGGTGGTGAATGCAGAGACAAAGGCACTGGGAAGGGCCTTCTGGAGTTCTTCGGTCCAAACTCCTGCTCTAAGCGGGTTAAAAACTGAACTCAGACCAGGCTGTGCAGGATTTTGTCCAGACAGAAGTATGTCTTACTATGTTCCTAGAGTTCAAAACCCAAAAAACATCAGCAACATCGTTTTATGGTTTCTGAATCTGAAACCATACAGCTTGAATTTCAGCTAGCAATGGTAGCAATTCTTCAAAAATGAATAGTATGTACAACTTCATGTTTTCCCACAAATTACTACTTCAAGGGCAAAGGTTTTATATCTCAGCAACTCTGGAATCTACTGAATATTCTCTCTAATTATACTTCCTTGCGTAGATGGAAATAAAAGACTAAAGTACCAAATCATATAATTTGAAATATTTGAAGTATGTAACATATACAAAATATATACTTCATAGTATATGCATTGAAAAATATTAGTTTAAAAGTAAATAATGAGAAAAAGCCAGTGGGATTAGTACTGAGTGTTTAGGCTACATATTTGGGAAAGATGGCTTAGGTTCCTGCTACAAGCATGGCTCACGTGTTTTTCACCAAAAGATGAAAAAAAACGTAATCCTCAAGAGGTGCTTAAACCATCCCTCTAGTGGGAGGATGAATCATCACTAGTGCTTCCTGAGACCCTTTCTACGCTGTAAAATGGCATTTGGGGAGTAATTTAAAAGTGCATTTGCTCCTTATTAGCCTCTAAATTGGTGATTAGGGAACCTTCCTGAACTTGCAGGGGTTACAATTAAAATCTTTAAAAGGCAAAAAGAGCCTACAACCCACATTCTGAATAATTGCTAAGGTTGTACATGAGGGAAACACCTCATCATCATTTCTCCTCAAAGGCATGCATACTCCTGCCTTTCAGGGAGATCTCAGCTACAGGGGTAGGTTGCACACAGTCTGAAAATATGCAACAGACTGAACCTCTCAGGATGTAAAAGCAATAGAAAAGTCAGTTTCTGGGTCCTAAATTCACTAACATCACTTTAATTTCACTTAAATCCAATTCCTGTCAAGACTGAGAAATTCTGGGATTGCACAAGTATATAAGCGAGATATGTAAAGGTGCTTTTTGTTTTTGGTTGGTTGGTTGTTTTTGTTTTGTTTTTCTACAGCTGAAGGAAGGTAGGAGGTGTTAAAATCCCACAGCAGAAAGCACAGCCCTCACTTAAGGAAAGTACCGCTGGTTCCTCAGCTCTAGAGTCTACAGCCTCAGATCAGCAAAGCAACACAACATATTGCAAAAGAAGATGGCTAATCTACACAAGCTGTAAGGAAGAATGGAAGCAGATGACAGGGCACTTTGCAGATGACTTTGTGCACTTTACCAACGATCTTCTGATCATGACACACACTGACAGCTGTATTATCCAGGCTAAATGGCAATGATTCCAGAAGGCAGACAACAACCTGGTCTTAACATTAGACAGAACCTAAACTTCAAACGATGGAAGGCCTTAGGAGTTCAGAGTCAATTTGATGTCCATTTTATGAGCAGTAGTTTTAAATCTGCTAATCATTTTAGATTCAAAGATTAAAAACAAGAGAGCCACCAGAGGGACAACTTACAAAGCCTGTACATCTTATCCCATCCACCCAAGTAGCCCTAAGTGCATAATAAGGCTGTAAGTACACATTAATAGACAAATGACAAAACTGTAGGGATTTGCCCATAATATGTATGAATCCTATTTCCCTTTCCATCACATACAAATATACATTGCAACTATTTCTCACATATTTCCAGTTCCTGACCAATTTCTGCATTAATTGATGCCTTATTATAAATTCAGAGTAAGATGAATAGTATGCAGGAAAATTTCTTAAAGGCAATCCCACCACCAGCTCAAACAGCTTATAATTCATGCGATAGTTTTCCACCATACACTGAAACAAATGAAATTCACTGGATTCAATTTCATTTTACCAATTTAATTAAAATTCAATTCAATTTGAAATTCAAATTTTACTTATTTTTATCAACTTTAAAAAAATAAAAAAATTCAAGAACCTACATACCTGGAACAAAATTTGATCCCAGAAACATACCTCAGGAAAACAATACCCAAGTATTTCCATTAACACAATACAATGTGGTAAGCAGAAATAGAATAACAAAATCTCTGTTTTCTAGCACACCAGGCAACAGTATTGCCAAATTAATTAAATTATCATCCAAATTAAAGAGGTCTAGGAGGAAAGCCAAGGTAGTGGTTTACGAGCTTAGTCAATCTTTGTAAAACTGCTTCTTTCTTCTCAAATATTATTTTTCAAAAGTTACTAATTCCAAAAGCAATGCAGTTGCTTATCACCTACATGATTCAATGCTCCTTCTGTGGGGAAAAGAGAAACTAAAAAAAAACAGATAACTTTTATTATACACCTAAACTAATCAAAGACTAAAATCAAGAAAAGTATGAACAGGTTTGAAGACAAAAAGCAGGAAGCCTTACCTTGAAATGCCGCTGCATTACGAGATATTAAAAATTTTAATGTAGTACTTGATGTTTGAATCACTTGCTGTATATCTTGCTTCGCTGCAGTCTGATATCTTTCTTCCATCTTTTTGTTGCAGCATGTTGGATTTTTTGAAGTACAAACCTGGAGATCAACCCCTAGAGAAAGAAGTAATTACAATGATTACAATGAAATAGAGGTACACAATACATAAAGGCACAGACAACTTTTTTGGTTTTAGCATAGGTATATATACTTAAAAGAAATACCCAGAGCTTCAAAGGCATCAGATCTTGTTAAACAAAAATTAGATGGGGGTAGTAACTAAAATTCTGTGGGAAGAATACACATTACAGTTAATTAGTGTCATACAGCAGCATTTCCTTGACACTGCAATCTTATTCTAGCTTGAGTATTACTGGCTAACGTTGGTCAAATACATCGGACACGCACTGCACATCACCTAGAATATTGACCTGCTGGGCTAGCTCATGTCTGGCACTCTTGTTCTCCTGTAAAACTTGGGCTGGAAAGGGCTAACTACTGCCAAATATTACAGACACGACAACAGAAAGCCCATTCCTGATATGAACATGCTCATATTAACTTTTATATGGAGCAGTCCTAAATTCCAATATAATCTCTCTTACTGGATTTCTCTAATGTCTAACACTCCCATGTAACTGTCATGCCAATTCACTACTTCACTACTGGGATGGGAAAAGTTCATAGAAATGAACATCTTTTCAAGTTGTTGGCACACAGAAATTCAAGAGAGAGAATTCAGTACTGTTCTGACATCTGTTTAATTTTTTTTTTTTTTTTTTAAAGAACTGGAGATAATCAAGCAGGAAAACACCCTATTTGCCCTCTTTGTTATCACGTGGCATTAAAATGTTTTACATTGTATCAAAAAAAATCTAAAATGAAAAAAAACAAACATTCCATGAAGGAAGAAAGATATGAGAATTTAAATGACATTAACACAAAAATTGTACTGTTCAATTCAAACTCCACTCTGATACACTGTTTCACTGACAGGAATCACATTTTTATCTGCTCTGTGGGCTGAATCATAATTCAGTGGTTGTGTGTATATACGTAATTCTTTCTTCATAATAACTAGAAAGGGAAGATAATGATGGGAATAAAAAAGCAAGACATTCTAAGATGAAAACTTAAATCTGTGTCATCCTTGACTCTACTCACTTTCAGTTCTTACACTACCTCCCTGAAGCTAACCTTTTCATGTGAGGAAGGCAATGCCCTAACATTGCTTTTAAATCATACTTCTATTTTTTTTCTCTGTATTTTCTATGAAAACCCATTCAGAAGTAATATGAATATAGTTATGGGGAAAGGGAGGCCTTACACATTTGTACCCTCAATATTCCATTAGTCATGTATGTTAGGTGGTTTTTCCATTAGTTATGTATGTTAGGTGGTTTTTCCATTAGTTATGTATGTTAGGTGGTTTTTCCATTAGTTATGTATGTTAGGTGGTTTTAAATAACATATTCCAAAAAGCTTAAAAAAAAACCAAAAAACTAGCTACTGATCATTCTTGGAGAATGTCAAAATGTTTAAATTCATTATATCCAATGTATGTCCCTTTATGCGTGTGTTGGCTGAAGACATCTTAATGAAGGGATTCCTGGGCCTGGAACTTCACTTCAGCTACACAGTGAGAAAAAAAATTATTCACAGACAACAGCAAGCCTGAAACAGGAACCCACTGCATCATATTCAGACAAGTAGAAAAGATTAAGAAGATTCCTTAAAAATCACATTTAGAAAAGCATTAGAACAGAATGACAAAGGTAAGTAATATGGACCATTCAAAAGTTGTGTTCATCTAAGACTCTAGATAAAACTTGTCTCTACAATACTATACAGAGGTAATCTAATTCCCTTGACAAATATAGCATATAACAGATAATACGGTCTCTGATTTGCTCAACATTTCCTTCTGGCATTGGTGGTTTCCATTGTCACAATTCCCTTGTTCTTCCATACCTGCTTTGGGATACATTGCAACCTACAGTATTAAAAATTATAGATTTTCTCTTCATTTTTAAAGAAACTTTTTCTCTTCGTGCATATTTTCAGGCAAAACAAATTGATTGCAGTGAAGAGTGCTGTTCAGGAATTGATAACACTGCTTCATATCTATGAAGACAACTGTTTTACTCCATATACATCACAAACGTCTGACCCCACATACACAGGAACATTTCACCACCCACATTAAGAATGTGTGCCTTGAAATAAATCCATTTCACAGACAGGACCAGGAGCAAATCTCATTATGTTAAGGGAAGAGCAGTAGATATTTTAAGAAATCCTGCTACCATACAGAATTCAGAAATCTGAGATTGCCTTCATGGAAGCATGCAAAAGCAAGAATGTGACCTCTGGATATGAAAATGAACTCAGGCGAGCGATATCCCTGTAAATCTCTTTGAAGTGATTCTTGGCAGAAGCGTAACACAGCAATTGGCACACCTACGTGCCACAGTCCAGGAAGCTGAACCCAACAGAAAGGTAAACTTTATTCTAATGCAGCCACAAACTGCTGAACTTCTGTGATTATTAAGAAATTATATTTCTTAAGTGTTCTAGTACAAGATACCTTTTTCATCATACTACTAGATGTTTTTGAAAGCTGTTTACCCTAATCATTTATTTAAACGTGATTTCCATGTTCTTCAGTATTCAAATTTTTACAGCTTACGAAATAATTTCTCCTGGCAAGCCGCCTTTACAAATGCCACATAAGAATGTACACATCCCATCCCCAGACATTCCAATTCAGCAGAAAAAAAAAATGAAAATAAAACTGCAAAATTAAAGGTTGTCTATTACATTATCTACTTTTGCATTCGTTATGCATGCCAAAGAAAATAGCATCAGAGACAGCGTCTCCCTCTCCTCCATTTCCAGTGCTTCCCCAAGCCTTGGAAAAGTCTTCTGACCCTACCCATCTCCCAACCCATGCTGAATTTCCAAACCAAGTCGCCTAAACTGCTGACCACCTCCAACTTCCCACAGCATTTCCACATTCCCGGTCCTAGGCAGCACCCCCAGATATGGAGACTCATCCCATTTTGCCTTGCAAAGATAATGGCACACCAAATCACAGCCCGGGATGCAACAAAATTTAGGACATAGGAATTGCTGCTTCACAAAAGAGCAATATAATGTCAATTCACTGCTCTGGGTAAGGGCCCCTCTGCAGAGGGCAATTGTTGCAGAGCAGCTGAAACACAATGAACAGAAAGAGAAGGAGCAGCAGGGGGGATGAACCAGGTCATGGTACCCCAAGCACATACTTCGGATGCTTAAGGCTGGCCACACCTAGCATTTAAAACAGGCAAAGCTGGAACCTGAACTGCATGAAATTCTGTTTTTCTACAACCTATAGCTGAAACTCTTATGACATTTGTTTAAAAGTTTTGTGGTGTTTTGTTTGTTTGTTTTTAATCAGTGCAGCAGTCATGGCTTCAGCAAAGTTTGGTTCTGTAAAGAGATAGCACAGAATTACTCCACAGAATGGGTCAAGAGGACATATTAGTGATGCCTGACTCAAACCAAGAAATAAAAGTATTAAAACTGTGTTAATACACTCTGTTCCAGGGGTGAGTTACACCACATGTATATAAAACACTTATCATTTCAGGTGCAATTATCTCATATGCAAAACATGTCCAAGCTGACACTGTCTAAGGGATTAAAGCACTGCAAGCTTCTATTAAAACTTTTTAAATCCTCTCACTTATGATCAGATACATCTGCTGTCATAAGGAATACTAATTAATTTAAATATTAGCTGCATTAAATGAGAATTTTAAAATAACATACTGTTAAAACAGCAAGAGGCAAACTGGACTAATATACCACCCACCTACATGCAAATTAAAGGAATGATAATAAGCCTGCAGCAACATTTACTCATCATACCAGAAAGGTCTATTCACAGGTACAACACGCAGTTCTCTCTCTAATTTTTTTTTACTCACTTTGAGTTTATCACACAGAGAATATCACAGTACAGGGCAAGCCAAGGTATAGTCTGTAGTATGCCAGCAGCAATACAGCTACAAACATCAAGAGAAAAAATGTTTATACCAATAGCAATATTCCCAGCATTGCATTGCAACAGCCTTTTTTTTTTTTTTCCTCTCTCTTTTTTGGTCACTGAATATTATCTACTGCTTATAACAAAAATCAACTCACCGCTGTTAAAAAAGGCAGCTACCTTAGTCATGTAACTGACACTGTAAAAGAGAGGAACCATGTTATTAAGTTGTTTGGACAAATTTCAATGCCATACCAATTTCAGACTTACTATATTCTTTATTCCCCTACATGTGTTCTTTAAGTTCTTTACTGAAAAGGAAAGGCTTTCTTTGTATTTTCTTATTAAAAAATTGATTCTGAACTCAAATGCTTGTTGTTTTTATAATTATTATTTGTGCATAGATTTTGTCTTTCCCAACCTTCAAATAAACCAGCAGAGTGCTCAAAAGGAAAGAATTAGTCGTATAGTCAAACCTGATCAACTAGGGTTTGTCTATTGGTCATACATTGATGCATCAGGCAGTTTTACAACTCTTTGCAGTACTTTTTCTTCCTTAGACCTCTATTCCTGCTTTTTCAGGGAAGTCTCTTACCTTCATAAAGAAGCTTCCAGCCAGCATGACTTCAGAAGAGAAACTGGGGGGGAGGCCACTGATACTAATACAAATCTAAGAGTGCTTTTTAACCCAGATGCATGAATAAGAAGGCCTCAAGAAATAGACGTTTAAAAGTTAGACAAGAATACATCATTTTATTTAATCAGACCAACATATGGATTAGATTACTAACTCTTATGTTGCTGAAATCTCTCTGGCTACAAGAAATTGTACTACGTGATGTGTGTTAAATTCATGTCTGACCTTGCCCAAAGCCTGTCTTGCTCAAGAAGCACGCTCAGCACCTACTGACACAGAAGCTGATCTGGAACAATGCAGAGCTTGGGTTTCTCCCTAAACTGCAGCAATTTCATAGGGACAAAAATATTGTGAAATGAAAAAATTATTTCATTTCCAGGTATCCAGAAGATAACCCAATGCTCCTACACTATTCTGAAATAAGTCTCTCCACTCTTCCTGCA